AATCATATAAAGATTTATACAACATAAGTTCCCAAAGCAAAGAGAACTAAACTAAATGCACCCAAGCCAATTGATTTGAAAATCTAATGCCCTTTGACCTAGTATAACAATCATACTTCGTCAGTGATAGTGGCTTAGTGAATGGATCGAAAATATTCTATTTAAATAAAATTTACTTACTATGATGTCTATGTTATGACTAACTATCAAATGTAATGGTACTTACTAAGTATTATGCCTTATGAATTTCTGTGACTTGAGATCGTTAGTCAAGGTGATTGCACCCTTATATCAACAAAAGATTTCAATAGGACCATCAATGATTGAAAAAAACATTGAGATCACTGATGAACCCCTTTTTAGCTACTTAACCTTCTTTGCAATCTCACTATCTGCAATATGCTAAACTTTTGTTGTCAAGTTGTGACATCTGCTAATTTACAGAATAAAAAAAAAACTTTCTTTATGCTTTCAAAACCAGGTTATCTTTGTTTGTAGAAAATCCTAGTATACTGGAACATTTTGTCGAAATTGTCTCATTTTATTAAAATATCTTGAGTACAAATGTTGTTTAAAAATCACAAAACTCTAAGCATATCATAATCAATATAGTACATAACTTACATCATAAAGACCTAACGGTCCTGAACACAATTGCATGTTGTCTCTTTAAGTTTATCAGCATCCTATTCAAGCTCAAGCAGCCTTAACATCGCTACTTGTGACATATAATTTGAGTGGATTAGGTTTGGCAAAACCTGGTTAGACACATATGGTTCTCAATCCCACAATATTTTAATGATAATAATGATAGGTTTTATAGGTTATAATTCAATGCTTGAGGTAAAAATAACTTAACCCTTAAGTTCACATGAAATCTTTTTGGATATAAGTTTTATCTATTGATAGCAATAACCTATGAATATCAAGAACCCTAACAGAAGCCTACAATAATCAAAAGTCATATAGGATTAGAGTTTACATACCTTTTGATTATTATAGTAAATAATCAAATCAATTCCTTTCTTCAAAATCCTAGGAAAACAAGCAAAAAAAACCATGATGCCTCTAATGGTTTGTACCAAAACCCTAGAAATTAGAAGACTTGAGGAGAGAGGAAAGGGGAGTATAATTTCGACTATTCCTTTGAGTGTAAGAGTGGATGAAAATGAGGAGCCAAGAGGTCCTATTTATTGCTGATACAAGGAGCCTTGGAAACCCTAATTTGAATATAATCTGAATATTTCAAATTAGGTAATTATCCAACTCCTAGTTATCCTTAAGTAATATTCCAGAAACCCTCAAAAATGCTCTCCAAAACCCTCCAAGACTTGGAAGCTTTTGGAATTCACGCTTGTTTACTATTGATAATTACAATTTAAGTCCTTACATTTTTAATTAATCCTAAAATTAATTCCAATTAATTTATGATTAATTATTAATTAAATAATACTATTTCTAATTAATATATTAATCTCATAATATATTAACAAATTATTTTTTACTATTTATTAATCACATAATAAATCAATAAATCAACCTCTCTCTCCAAATGTCATTCTACTTAATTACTAGTTTTGAGGGCAACCTAAAAAAGATTTTGCTTTTAATTCAAGTATACTCAAATTTAGTTATTTGCTTAGACACCTTAATCCAACAAATAAATTATATTTACTAACCCTGCAAAACCAACTATTATCAAACATCACAACATAAATATCTATAAGACATTTTTACCCTTAGTTACCCCACTCGTCGATCCTCACATACTAATCCTATAACATTGATCTTATGAAATCTATTCTGATGGATCACTGTAAGCATCGAGTTGACTATACTGCTTCGGGGATTCTTCAGTAGTAGGCATAAGTCAATAAAGGCAACCATGGGGGGATAGAGTACCTGAATGAACATACAATCCTTTTACCCGGATCAATATGATTCATTAACACCACAAGATAGTTTTGTCATGGGTGGTCATCTATACTCCACTAGATGACTCAGACATACCCACCGGTAGTCCAATATAGATGCGCCATTTATGGCTATCTAAAAAGAGGATGAATACTAGCATAGTACTCTGGGACGTAACCCATACCTTGACGCGCAACAATGTCATAGAACAGAGCTCACTCTTCGTTCCAATCTCACACAAACCCTTAATATGATACTACCCCATATTTAACTTAACTGAACTAAGCATCCCCTTTAACTTAGTTTATAACTAGACAAGATTACAGAACTTGTAATCCACTTCTAATACAGTTTTCTATCTTATGGAATATCATTACAATACAGGGTATAACTAAGCACTTATTTAACTTGCTTTGACTAAATAATCCTTGTGAAACCTTAGTTTGTAACTAAACCATATCAAAATACTTGTAATTCATTTTCTATATAGTCTTCCGGTTAATGCAATATTAACACAATATAGGGTATGACTACACCTTTATCCAACTTACTTGGAACTGAACATCAAAACTAGACAAGACTATAATCCATGTAATCAACTTCCAATACAAATCCTTATTCATGCAACACTACCATAATACAATGTATATATTTAACATCGAGTATCAAATATTTAGTATACACTAGTCTTTTAAGTAATAATACTTACATTAAGATTGTCATGTGGCAATACCATATATACACTTAACACATATATAAACATATCTGACTCGCACAGTGTATGTTGTATAATATTACCAAATATACATTTAATATGTATTCTAGATAATAAGCATCTAATTCACATATAGGATTTCAACTTAGATTTAATACTTTAATAAATATTTGTATTAAAATCATGTTCATGAAAGTAACCACACACTCACCTGATTATGGTGGAAGATTCACGGGAAAGTTAGCTCCTTGACTAACACTTTAGTTTTTCCATTTTAAATTACCTAAATACGAATATTACTATGCTTCAGTATTTGTTCATATTTGTAAGGTTGTATTAATCATTTTTGGATTCTTCAAAAATACCAAAGAATATCGAGTTCTATCAAATAATCAAGGACCATGTAAGATCATATTGGAGGTAGGATTTGTTTGGTATACAAAGTATATTGTTTAGAAAGTTCACTTTAGACACATCACTAAGATCTAGCCTAGACATCACTCCTATAAGTAGATCGATCAATATTTTGACTGGAATTACCGATAAACTTTATTTATAGGCTCATAATAATGACAATGAGCATAAGTATTTGTTACACTTAACAAGTGTAGTAAACATAACTCGCCTTACAAGTTTTCTAGCGAAAACTCGGAGATTTTGCGAGCAGAATTTTGACGCTGATTACTTCATATGTCGGGAATTCTGTCGCTGCAGTGCCTTATTACGATTACTCTGAAAACTCCAAAAGTAAGATTTCTAGAGAGGAAAGTGTTTCTAGAGAGAGGAACTCAGAAATTGGCAAGGAAAAATGAAGTGAGGTTTGCTATTTATAGGAGATCTGATGGGAGGGCACACCGCGTCCTCATCTTAGGTGCACCACGCCTTAGCGTAGGTGGCAAGGCTTGCTTCTAGTTGTGACACGTGGCACGATGTGGGTAGTGATGTGTCTTTTTAAGCATGTAAATCTCGTAATCTTTGAAAAATCATATCTTTCGCATACGAACTTCATTTTCAACGTTCTTTATATCCACAACACAGTATAGTTTTTATTTACAGTCTATAACACTATAAAAGACTTTTTAAAATTCATATCTTCTTCATAAAAGCGTTGCTCTTGACGTTCTTTATATCAACGGATTCATATTTACGAGGACATCAACTTTCGTTTATATTGTTTTGGCTAATAAACAAGCTATTTTCATTTTATCTTTTACGACAAACATTGTTGTATCGAGTTAAATGCAAAATTTTTAAAAATTATAACTTCTTCATGCGAAGTTAGATACGGGCATTCTTTATACTTACGGGTTCGTAATTATGACCATTACAACTTTCGTCAAGATTATTTATCTTAAATGATCTTTTATTTATAAATATTATTTTATCGCTCTTCCATAAATTTATAAAAAAAAGGTTAATACAAATATTATATAATCATAACATTTGTCCACATATCGTGTATACACTAAATAAATATTTATATAACCCGTAATGCTTACGAAGAATAATTATCCAAATTGAGGATTTTCAATTGTTCAATGAAACAAATATTTATTATTATTATCCCTTAATGGTCTAGCCTTAACTTGCGGGCATTACACAAGTCCACTATGGTGTCCTGTTTCGCACTCCTCCAAGTCACTACTTCTCCATGTACTAAGAGCATGAATTCCTACTCCAAACGAGAATCACCTCTACCAGGAGACTAGCATTAGTATAACCATTGCATTAATCTCCTCCATACTTACAAGAACATATCTTTTGTCCTCCTAGGATACTTAAGAATGTTGTTTATATATATATATATATATATATATATATATATATATATATATATATATATATTGTAAAATATATGTTTTTGTTAAATAAAAGAAACTAGTGACGTGGATTGTGATATGACCTACCTATTAAAAACTTCAAATTTCTATATGTAGATAATACTTTGTACTGCTACATACTTGTATCCGCGACATGCTAATTAAATAATTGTTGTTGTAAGTTTTTGAATAGATCACATCATTATTCATCGTGTTCGTATATTAATTTTTTAATTATCTTAATTAATCAATTAATTGTTTTATTTTCATGTTAGATAATTTTTAGTTGATTTAGTTCTTACCAATTTAGGTTTGTATTGATTTTATATTTTATGGCATGTTTTATATAAATTTGGTTACTTGTTTCTACGAGTTAGTCCATATCGTCTTTGAATCGCATGTAGTTCATTCACCGATGTTTTATTCAGGGAAAGATTGTGATGAGAAGGAAAATATTGGGTACGGGTTTGAAAAAAACAAAACATCAGGGGTTATCTTGCAATAACATTATAATCTTTTATCCGTGAAACAGTCCAGACTCCAAAGCCACAAACCCTCTTCATCCATTAAACCCTTTCATATCTTCCAAAATTCGTAATTCTTTTTTATCAGTAATTCAAGAAAACAGCAAATCCATGGCAGTCATATTTTCCTCTTCTAACATGATTGTCCAGATCAGAAATCATTCATCTGCATCTCCGCCATCGGTGAAAGCTTTTGCTTCTTCAAAAGGGGGTTTTGTAAACCCTATCAACTTCAAATTTCCTTCAAATTTCACGCATAATCCATCTTCTTTTGCAATCAAAGCTTACCAGGATGAATCGGTAACTTCTTATCCCTTTTTTCGCATATGAAATTTCTTGTGCCATTTATATGCTTATGTGAAATTTTAAATTCGACGTTTAAACTCTTCCTCTCGAGGACATTGCCAATGTTCGTATGTGTGTTTCTATGAACAAATCCAGTATGGTTATGTAATTAACCTGAGTGCAAAGTAATTCAAAGTTAGAACAGCCTAAGAATTCAGAATCTGCAAACTAGTTATCAAAGCCACATGTGTTTTCGGTTGCAGATTGTTCTCTGACATTTATAGAGGGTTGCAAAATGGTCAAATAAGAAGTAAAACCTTGAAATGTGTTGTGATTGTGGATATGAAAACACAATGGTGAGAAAGTATAAGTTTTAAAAAATGGTTAAAAGTTAGATCTTGTTTTACAAGTAGTGTTGATGTGCTTCTTTGGTGTCAACATGTAATCCCTTTTTGTTTTACAAGTAGTAGTGGCCACTTTTAACATCTAAAAGGTAACTACTTAGGACTTATATGGAGAAAACGAAACATATTGTTATTCCACTAGTTTTATTCTTGATGTTCTTTTTAAGCCTTCATAGATAGTGCATACAACATTTGTGAGGAAAAGGATATGGAAGGGAGGGTGAGTTTTTTCATGTGGTAATGGTATAGGATTTATCCTAAATTAATATTAAAATGTAAAGGATTAAAGTCAAAAGATGTGTTTAATGCATTTTCTTAAATATTGAAAATGGAAATTAGTGATGCAAAACGTGTTGAAGTTTGCAATTTTGTGCCCAAATAAGTTTATTCATATGTTATCTCGTGTGTCTAGGATGGAATGGAATGACGAATGAATGGAATGGACAAGGTACTTATGGAATGAGTGATTGCATTCCATGGTCATGTTTCGTTTCCATTACTATCGTCATTTCTTATAACAACTCTCTTGAACAAACGTTAAAAGTGGTAGGTTTTTCATTTTTGTATGAGATGCAATAGGAAAGTAAATGTGTGACAATATTTAAATGTTCTATTTATGCTATTAATGTAATTGATTATTTTACACTTGTTTTGTATTTTTTTACTTTGTTATATCAGAAACTCGAACCCAAGAGAAGCATATCAACACCAAGTAAACCTAAACTTGCCAATTTCAAGGAACCAATTCCCGAAAAACAATCCTTAACATTTGTCGATTCAAAGCAATCTCCAAAAGAAAGAACAGCCACACAAACATCATTGGACTATCAACTAGTTCTCAAGTATCCACTTGTTACCGAAGCCGCAATACAAAAAATCATAAAAGAAAATACTTTAGTTTTTATGGTGGATGTTCGTGCTAACAAAAAAGATATTAGAAACGCGTTTGAAAATATGCTTAAGATCAAGACAAAGAAAATCAACACGCTCATCAACTATGATGGGACTAAAAAAGCTTTCATACAGTTGTCGCCTGAGAATCAGGCGACAACTGTTGCTAAGAAAATGAAAATCTTAGCTTAGATTTTGATTTTGTCGAGGATTTTAATTTTAATGTTGTATATAACCAAGGGAAGCAAAGATATGAAGATGAAAATGAAAATGAGAAGCATGTAGGTTGACAATTTGACTTTTGTTTGGTATTTTGTTTACTACCAAACTTAGTTTTGGATCTTGATTTTGGCTTTGTTTTCTTTTGTTAATCATGTTGGTTGTATTATGTTTAAATATTATTAGGTGAAGTATGTTTAATGGGTTAAGACACTAACTAATTACCTATTTGCCTTTTTTTTTTCCTCGCAACTACTCTTGCATATAATGTACGTAATTTAAATTATAATGAACCTTTACTTAAAAAACAAAGGGTTAATCTCATAAAAAACCTTATATTTTATGTGTTTTTTCAGGTAAAGCCTCAACTTTATTTTTTGCCCTAAAAAAGACGTATTTTTTCGTTTTTTCCAAAAAAACCCTCAACTTTATATTTTTTTCAAAAAAATCTCAACCTTCTAACTTCTTTCAAATAAACCCCGACTTTTTTAGTTTTTCTCGAAAAACCTCTCACATTTTACAACTTTTTTTTGGAAAAAAATAACTAAAAGGGTCCGATCAGAAAAAATGAAAAAATACAATGTCTTTTGCAGGAAAAAAATAAATTTGAGGTTTCATCCAGAAAAAGCACAAAATATAAGGTCCTTAAGGAGATTAACCAAAAAAAAAAGATTAGACATAATAGAAACTCATTAAAACCCTAAAATGATTATAATAAAAAATAATATATTTTTAGTTATTTATCAAAAATAAATCAAGACAACATAAGGAACCACATTCCTTCAAGATTCGCCCATTCCATTCCATCTCGCAAAACCAAAATGTTTTTTTTCCTGTGTTTCCAGTTGAATGAACCATTCATTCCTTTATCGATTGCACCACTACCATCATTCTTATAACAACTTTTCTTGAACAAATGTCAAGTTACTTCCACTACATCTAAATTCTCAACAAGATGCACTTTAGGATCATTAAAAGTGGTATGTTTTTTTTTGTATGACAATATTTAAATGCTCTATTAATGCAATTAATGTAATTGATTATTTTACACTTGTTTTGTATTTCTTTTACTTTGTTATATCAGAAACTTGAACCCAAGAGAAATGTATCAACACCAAGTAAGCCTAAACTTGACAATTTCAAGGAACCAATTCCTAAAAAAAAAATCCGTAACATTTGTCCATTCAAAGCAATCTCCAAAAGAAAGCACAACCACACAAACATCATTGGACTATCAACAACTTCTCAAGTATCCACTTGTTACCATAGCCTTACTACAAAAAATCGTAAAAGAAAATACATTAGTTTTTATGGTGGATGTTCGTGCTCACAAGAAAGACATTAGAAATGCATTTGAAAACATGCTTAAGATCAAGACAAAGAAAATTAACACGCTCACCAACATGATGGGACAAAAAGACTTATATACAGTTTTCGTGTGAGAATCAGGTGACAACTGTTGCTAAGAAAATGAAAATATTAGCTTAGGTTTTGATTTTTGAGGATTTTAGTGTTTTATATAACCAAGGGAAGCAAATATATGAATATGAAGATGAAAATGATGAGCATGTAGGCTGACATTTGTTTGGTATTTTGTTTACTACCATACTTAGTTTTGGATCTTGATTTGGCTTTGTCCCTTTTGTTAATCATCTTGGTTGTATTATGTTTAAATATTATTTGGTGAAGTATATTTGTACTCTATTGATTGATGTATTAGTTAAGACCTTGCTGAATGGGTTAAGATACTAATTAATTACTTATTTGCCATTTTTTCCTTCCAAACTACACCACATTTAAATCAAGTGTTGTTAAAATTTATAAATATTATGAAATTTATTTTTAAGAGTGTACATGTAAAATAGTCATTTAGTTTAGACAGATTATTTAGTCTAGAAAGAAGATTATATTCCTTGTGTTTACAACAATTTATACATTTGATATCCAAATAATTTATCTGGACATACAATAGCCACTTTACTTATGTATGATTTAAGGAAAATTTGTAGAAAAAATCTCAATATTTTTGGTCAGTTTATGCAAAAATCTTAAATTTTATTTTGTTTACAAAAAAGTCCCGATTAGCAGATAAAAAATTCAAATCAATCATTTTTTACCGGTAAATTAATTTTACACTGTTACCTCCAGAAAAATCTCATTATTTTGCAAAGTTTATGAAAAATTCCTTTAAAAAAAACTTTTTTTTTTACCCTTATACTAAAAATCTAAAAACTTCTTGGTTGAAATTATAAATAAGGATAAACGCCATTAAGCTCCACAAAACTAATAATTAAAGACCTATATAACCAATTATTTGCCACAAAACAATGACGCTAGCATCCTTTTTAACTCATTATCGTCCATATAATCCATTTCCTTTACAAATTTATGTTACACGTATTATAAAATATTCAAATGATGCGGTAAACACCTTAGTTCAATCTACTTAAAAATAGGTTAAAAGAAAACCAACCGTTATGTTCATATAAGAAACCATTGATTGATGACAAACCGATCAATACAATAGTAGATTAGATGAGGCTGTACGGATTATAGAGAAGAATATGAGTTTTATTCTTAAGTCTTAAACATATATGAACAATTCCTCAATGGATCAATTACTTTATAAACATAACAGTTCCTCTACAAAGGAATTACTCATGGAAGAATTGTAAAGTAATTACTCATTGATCAATTACTTTATGAACAATTACTCATGGAGGAATTGTAAAGTACTTGATCAATGGAGGAACTGTTATATTCATAAAGTAATTGATCCATAGAGGAATTGTTCATATATGCTTAAGATTTCAGGATACAATTCTCTATAATTCGTAAAACCTCACCTAACCTACTATAGTATTGATTGGTTTGTTATCACTCAATGGTTTCTTATATGAACATAACAGTTGTTTTCCTCTAACCTACTTTTAAGTAGATGGTACTAAAGTATTCAACATATAATTTGAATATATTATAATACTTGTAACATAAATTTATAAAAGAAATAGATTATGTAGACGTTGATGAGTTCAAAATGATGCTAATGTTATTGTTTTGTAGTAAATAATTGGTTATAGAGGTTTTTAATCCTTTATTTTATGGAGCTTAATGACATTTATTCTTATTTATAACTTCAACCAAGAAATTTTCAGATTATTAGTAAAAGGGTAAAAAAGTTGAAATAAAAAAAATTAGGATTTTTTCATAAACTAAATCAAATAATAGGACTTTTCTGGAGGTAATCTGTTAAAAAATAATTACCAGTAAAAATTGGTTGATTTGAAATTTTTATCCAATAATCAGAACTTTTTTGTTAATTAACAAATTGAAATATAGCACTTTTGCATAAACTGAACAAAATATTGTGACGTTTCTGGAGATTTCCCTGGAGAAAAAAACCCTTTAATGCCCTACAAAATTTCAAAATCTCATTAATTTTATATCCAAACAATACTTGATGAAGCTTGTTTTTGTTGTTGACATTCTTATTTACATCAAGAATCGACTACAATCACTTGCAAAAATGATTTCTAGAGTTTGACATTTGGGCTAACTATAATCCTGAAGGTTAAGGATTAGCTGATGAGAAAGGAATATAAACCATATTGTTTTATAATCACAATGTTTCAATAATCTTTTATTTATTTATTTTTTATTTTATTTTGGGACCATAGATTGTCATTTGTAATGTGTGCTCTTGGTATTTGTTCGTAAAAGTTTCCATTAGGATTGTTAGTGTTACTTTACATTTGGTAGGATAAAAGGTAACAACATTGTGATGTAATGATATCTTCCTTTTTAATTAAGAATATAGAACAAAAGATGCTCTCCATGAATTGTGTAGCTAAATCTCTTTTTTTTTTTTTAATATTTTTTTTTAATTTTTTTAATGATGTTAAGGTTTTAGTAATGAAATTTATCTGTTCAAAAAATAATAATAATAAATAGTTTTACTAAAATTTAAAGAGAAATAACAAAGTAGATAAGAACAAAAGAAAAGGAACACAAGTGCTTTTGGTTGTTGGGAAAGTAGATTTCAAGAATCCAAAATTTACTAAAAGAAGATCTTAAATGATAGAAGTGATCTTTGTTCTTTTTTCTTTGATCATCTTTCTTTCTGTTCTTTTTTCTTTGATCATCTTTCTTTTTAGGCTCATTTCTTGGAACTTGCCTTCTGAAACATAAAACGTGGAGCAATCAACTATTTTTAATCGTAATAAAATCATTATGCTTGAAATAAAATAATCACAAAAATGACCATTAAATTATGGAAAATATAGGTAAATTATCAGCCTTTTACATATTTACCCTTAATACATTTACTATTATTGTTTTTCAACTATATGACATATTGTATGTCACTATATTGTAAATCTATTTCACTTTGTTATACTCAACTCTTTTTTACAAACATTTTCTTGATATTTCAGATTTTGAGCACATACTTGAAATGTCAGAATACTTTTTTTTTCCTGTCCACAATGTTTAGTCTGATATCCGAAATTCGAAATTTTAATCCAAAATTTATCTGTTTTGTCAAAAAAATGTATTATGAGTTAATATGGAATTAGTATGTCACAAAATTGATTTCGAACAATGTGGTCATACAGATAAATCCATAAAATGAGAATTATTTCCTCGTATTACCAAATTTCCGATATCATTTTTGTGATTATCCTTGAATTTAACGTTTAGAAACCATTTTCTTTGTGATTTTTGCAGTTTTAGTTTATTTTATAATATGTTTATGGTGTTGAATGATATAGTTATATTATATTTCAAAGTGAATTGTGGCTCCTACATTTAGCACTTTGCAATGAAGTTGGAGTTCTTTTTCACTTTTTTTTTCTTAAAAGAAGCTGGGTTTTTTGACCATAATTATGGTTTATGTTTCGGTATTTAATCTTTTGTATGCCTTTTTGCAATAAGAGTTGAATATATACATATTAGCATTCAGGATTAAACAGTAGACACAAACTTTTGATGCTATAAATGCCTTTGTATGTCTAGTGGTGGTTGTATTTTGGTGTGCATTGACAACACACTCACATACACGAGTTTCAATGCCT